ATGCATTTTTCGTGCAGCGATTGGTAACCGAGGAAAGACCATTAACTCACTACACTGGAGAAGCCGTTTTTTCTAAGCAGCTGAAACCTGGATTTAAGCTAAACATCCATGCAGTGCCAGATCATGTTTCAATCCCTGAGCTGCCTGTTTAAAGTCGGTCGAGATGCTACCGTGGATTAATGGCGAGCACACTGGGCTTGCTGTCGCCGGTCTGATCTCCCGGTATGGCAGTCTAAGTTTCTTATCTCTCCAGCAGTCCGGTTGGGTACACCAACGTGAGTTGATATGCAGGACACGTCTGATGGGCAAAGCGTGGCTGTGCTCCCACCTCTTGCAAGAATATCCGGCCAGCGTGAAAGAGAGGAGGCCAAAATATCCTCTGGAGAGGGCTCCCTAGCGAAGGCCCTTCCGCCAACAATTGGAATGAGCAAGCCATTGCAAGGGCTGCACCTTTACCATTGACCTTGAATTTTGTAATTTCCCCAATCATTTTTAGGTGACTGTGGGAGCGATTAAACGGCCGACCGGGTGCCAACTGGCCCAGTGGCGGTCACGATGAATGCCCAGCCACCCCCAACTCCGCGCTGTTCGCGGGATGAAGCGTGGTAGTGGCAGGAGATAATCTGACCGCAGAGAGAGAGAGAGGGAGGCGAATTAACAACCCGAACGAATGTGGCATTGTATCCAGGCCAGATTAAGTTTCATTGGGGGCCCAAAACTGCTATAGTGTTTTTTTGTTGGTGGGGGGGGGGCTCTTTATGTGTTCAATTCCTTCCCTCGGGTGTTTTACCACCACCCATGCCCAATGTCAAACACTCCACTGTCATTCACCTTGGTTGCTTTAGTTCAGGATTTTTAACGCGATATAAAAGTTAGCAGTACTGTGTGTATATATATTTATAGGAGGTTCCTCAAAGTCCAAGACCACGGACGGGTCGAATTATATTCTCCAGAGTGCCGAATAAGGACACGTAATAATAATACTAATGATCGGTGTCTTTTCACCCCAGGGAAGGAGTTTTAAAAAGATATGCAACGGCAGTTAAATAAAAAATAAAAAACCTCCGACACTTCATAATCATTGCTCACACCTGCACGGTGCATGATCGGCTCCTAACGAGGCTGCAAGCACTTGAGCAATTAGTGGCGCAATGCTCGAGGGTTGTTGTTGTTGTTCTATAAGATTGGTGCGGCCTTCTCCCTAGGGTAGCCCGCTCCGTCGTCATAATGGGAGGGGGGAAGGAGGGTTAACGACACGCGTTGGATATTCGCACTCTTGTAGTTACGTTTCACTACGCGGGCAGAGAGATGGCGTCGATTCATCGATTGGGCTCGACTCCTATGGCCACACCGACAACGCGCGAGGATCAATTGGGGTCTTTTTTTTGTGCGCGCGGACACGTCGCCTTCGATTGGTTCATTCGAGCGTTTGGATCTTCGGCGCTAATGAACGACGGTGACAGGCGCTGAACACACAACGTCCTCTACAATTATCTCGTCCCGTCGCCCATTCAACCTCCCCTGGCCCCCCGCACTCCTCCCTTTAAATCGAGCACCTGCCTCGAAGCACAACGGCACACGCCGAACCGAACAACGGCGGAGCAGAACCACGAATGCGGCCGCGTGCGTGGAGGGCATCGCCTCTACATCGGGTGGGAAATCTTAGACGCGGTTCCACCCCTCCTGCCCCTCGGCGGCGTGCGACGGTGCAAATCCTGAGCAAGAACGGATTGGGGCCACGTTGTGAACCTCGGTGAAATTCAGAGGAGGCATTGAAGACGTCCATTCAGCTTAACCCCTACCCCCCCCCCCCCTCTTGGCTGTGCCTTTGGCCACTACCAAAGCTTCACGTGGACTTACGAGTCGACGAGTCGCGATACAAAGCCAAGCGCAAGAAGAAGAATTTCAACGCGAACGCCGTCGAGCGCAAGATGAGCTGCGATGCACCACCAGTCTCAAGTTGGGGAATTGATTCTTACATCGGATCGCAACGCCGAATGGTGAACACGCATCAATTCGCAATACAGGCCAACTGATGCGGGCCTTATGTTCATTCATACTATGCTTATACTTTACATCGCCACTGATTTTATGAACTTTGGAGTGAAAGCAGGCAACAGCTAATTTCAACCGTGACTTGCGTTTACTTTTACGCAAATTGTCTGTGGCAGGGCCTGAATTTCGCACCAAATATCTCAGGCCGCTGCTAAGGCTGGAGTAGTAGACACGTGACTATTAGCCAGAGCCGTAGCGAGGAGGTGTACTTGATGTGGTGTGCCGCGTCGCTGACCAGGACAGACCTGGCTGAAATTAAGCCTCGGTACGGCGATTAATTATCTGTCCACCCAGCATTATTGAAGGGGTACACTACGGCCGTCAATCGGCAGGCTGCCTTGCGGTGAGGAAACGTGTGGGTATATCCACCTCTTCCAAGACATCTGTGACCAGTGTGGAAGAATATATCCAAAGACCCTCTGCAGGGGTTCTCTAGAGCTCTCTCTCTCTCTCATGGAGGCTCTTCTGACAACAGTAGCGTGCACACGCAATTGCAAGGGTTGCGCCTTTATATTTCCGGCATTAATCTTGGCAGGAGGCTGGCCTGACATTTCCCGGAGGAGGACGGGGAGCAGGAGGGGGAGGAAAGGACTGCCGTCCATCCCAGCGAGTTGACGTCACAAAACTCTCTGGACGCACATCTTCACATCACCGACCGAGCGGTGGTTGGTGGTGGTAGTGGGGGTGGTGGTGGGGGGGTTACAGAGAGAGTCTGAGCACCATCAGTCAACGAGCGGGGACTCATAATTCACACACACCCTCTGCTCATCCACGCGCACCCGTGCGCGCCTGACATCTAGATTTGCCGGCGAGAGCAGCGGAGCGTGGACCCTGTAAGCGATAATGAATAATTATCATCCGCCTCCTCCTCCTCCTGCCGCGCGCAGCTTCACTTTCCTCAAACACGAAGAGAAAAAAAACCCACCCCGGACGTTTTTATCCTCCAGCGCCGCCGCCGTCCTTAATTGGCTGCTTAGTTAGAGAGCGGCGCACCGCGGAAAAAGAGCTCAACGACTTATTCTTGTTTTTGATCCGAATCGGGCCTCGGGCGAAAACGGCAGCGCTCTTGATATAGAGAAGAAAAAAAACCGCATGAAAAGGTGCAGCGCCCTGGCAGAATGACTTCCAGCAATGTAAAAGGAAATCTCGACTCTCGGCCTATTCTTTCACACCGGCCAGACGTCTCGGAAGTCGACCGTTTGGAAAAGATGGGAGTGCTCACCGCTTTACCCCCCAGCCAGCCACACGTGTGCGACCTGTCGCTCGACTGGCTGTGGTTGTCCCCGTCTGTACCACTGGGTGGACAGACGCGGCCCTGTCGGGGTGGTTGCCGTGGTTTTAAGAAACTTTCCTCCATTGTTTCAACTGCCGCGCCGGGAGATCGAGATGGCCACCTCTGGATTGCGAGTCCAATGTGCTGCTCGCCATTACAGCACATGCGTAATTATATAGACACGTACTTATTTATCTACACACACACATCAATTTAACAAATTCAACTACAGCGGGTAATTAATTTTGCAGGCGCGCGTGCTTTTTATCCCCCCCCCACCACCATCATCAGTTTTCAGTTTTCACCGTGGCAATTAGAAAGAAGCACTCTTCACCTGCATCAATTAAAACATCCCTGGGAGAGAAAAAAAATCCCAGATTGCACACACACACACAGACAAAAAATCAGGACCCGCGTCTCTCTCACTGCCACCAGGCTGCAGTGCCAATAGGGCAGAGGGTGGGGAGATGACTTCGCTGCTGCTGCTCCACTCTCTACTCGCAGAGCCATCCCCGCTGCTACTGACCTTGCCGCATTAAAAACACCGCCGCTCTTTAGCCACCCGCTTTTATTGCAACAATTTGCTCCGCTTATTCCCTGAAACCCATGAATCCATAATCTGCCACGTGCCACCGTCCATTTATCCATCTCGCGGCGAGCCGCGACGCATCCAATGTCGAGGCATTCGTTTGTTGTTGGTGTTGTTTACGAGCAGCGTATGTTATTCGTGACATTGCGATCGTTTTTGTAGTTGTTGTTTGTTTGTTATTTATGTCGCAATGTTCTCTTTAAAATGCACGAGAAAAATAAAACGGGAGAGAGTGAATGGCGGGCAGCGTTGTCAGTACGCCGAGTTGTATATTTACGTTCGCGGGGCATTTGAAGCTTTCGATCCACCACTCCACATTCCTCTCGAGTTGATTCAAACCGCTCTAAACGGCCACTCGCCTCCTCCGCTCGTCACGGCGACAGAATCACGCGCGGACGAGACCGTCGATAATTATCATGAGCCCCTATAATAAATTAAAATTACATTATTAACACTCTTCATCAAGTTCACCCCAACAAGCCCCCGCCCGCCAACTTGCATTGAGAATTGTGCCCAGAACGTAACACGCGTCGCAGATTGCAGTTTTGTGTTAGTCTAGGGGACATACAACTAATATGTATACTTTTTTTAATCTCCATCAGCCGATAATAATAATAATAACTTCTGAAGCGCTGCAACATGGCAAGCCACTACAAGGACGTTCTGGTGCCTTCTTACAGACCAATGTTACTCAACAGCATTTGTTTAAGCGAAGCAATTTCTGGACCGGCTTCGGTCCTTCTAAGTCTCATCAGCAGGGTCGGGCAAATGCTGTTGCGTGCGTTTGCCAGACGTTATTGGCAAGAGCACTCCACCTTCCCTGTTCACCACCAGAAGCATTTCCTCAAACCCAAAATAGGTATCCAAACCTGACTCCCACAAGCGACATGGATCCCACCGAACCAACTCCACACCAGTTGGCTTCACAGTCCGGATCCGAACCCGGCCCTGCATCTCCGTAGCCTCCTTACGGTGCCACCCGCCCACAGGCAGCACCTGAGCCTCGAGACCCAGCGAAGGACTCGGCGAGGCTTCCATCGGCAAATGGCATCTCCGTCGTCGTGGCCGTCGTCGTCCCGCTCGTCACGAGGCGAGGCGGCCCAACGAGGACGATGCCAAGGACGTTCCGTCGACGCGGCCCAGCAGCGCGGGGAATCGCGCCGCGAGCCTGCCGCGCAGCAGCGCGTACGGCAGCGCCAGCGTCAGCGCGGCCGCGGCCAGCGTGACGAGGGCCGCTCGCGCCGCCGCGCGTGCCGAGCGGCGGAAGCGCGGGGGCCCCACGGCGGCCAGGGCGGCCGGGCACACGGCGAGCGACAGCGCCAGGGAGGCGAGCGACGCCACCGCCAGCAGGCGGCCGAAGCGTGCGAACGGCGCGACGAGGCACGGCACCAGGGGCAGGGCCGACGCGGCGGTGGTGAGGCCGGCGCAGAGGACGGCCGGGCCGGCGGAGCGAACGGCGCTCACGGCGCGTGCTGCCCGGACGGCCGCGTCGCTCGTGCCGCCGACGCTGCCACCACCAGACTCTGCCTGTGGAAGGCGCAGGGGGAGACACCGTGAGGTGGGAACTGTGGTTTTAGATTTGGGTGATGATGATATAATAATGGTAAAGGTACAGCCCTGAAATTACTTGCTTGTGCCACTGCGAGTTTTTGGAAGAGGTTACGGGTACCTCCCTCCTTATTCCGTGACCGCAACTTTTCGGGGGTTTTTTCCACACCTCGGCCGTGAATTTCACAGATACTGACTGCGTCCAATCAGGTGTATTTATTTGTTTTTGGGTCAGTAATTGTATTAACCCTCCACCGCTCGCCAAACACTGCCACGTTCAGACAGATATTACTTACACAATGCCAATGCATGGATAAAATGGTGACCAATCAAGCTCCTCATCACCATTGGCTTAGGTTAAGATGATGATTGATGCTGCTGGTGATGATCATAATAATAATTTACATTTGAAAGGTGCATGTTTTCCGTAGAACCCAATGTGCCGTGTACGGAAAGCAGGGTAAATGGCCTAAACTAGTCTGGGTCTAAAGGCCAGTTGAAAGAGGGGTGTTTTCAAGACGTGACTTTAATAGCTCACACGACTCTGATCGTCTTATTAGCAAATGAAAAGCATTCCAAAACTTGGCAGCTGCACTGGCAAATCAGAATCGGAATCTTTGTTTACGTTGGAGGAATCCGATGAGCTATAAAGCTATTTTATCACATACGTCCAGTATGGACAAATGCCCGATCACCCCAGGAAATGGGCCTTGACCTTGAGAGTCCTCAGAAGAAGGTGATTCGAATATATTCTTAGGTTTTTTTTCGATAAAGTCATGTAGGTAAAAAATTTAAATTAATAAAAGTAAACTAAAAATAAAATAAAAATCACGACGTTTCGGAGGCAACACAAGCTTCCGTCTTCAGGTGGAACCGTCACAGCACGATAGCTGTATCAAGTGAGAGAAATTCCAAAAAAACGGTCCTTGTATATATACTGGTTGAGGGTGGGAGGAGCCAAGGTAGGCCCTGAATAGTATTTTTGTGAGGTTCGGTGCGGCTGAAGCACGCTGTTAGGAATGAGTCTTTGTTGTGTAAACTAGGTGCGGATGATGTAAAGGTGCGTGTAAATGGGACTGAGCCTTTTGTTATGTAGAGGTGGTGCGGCTGAAATCGCTGCCAGGAAATGAGTCTTTGTTGTGTAGAATGGTTGACTGAGCCTTTGTTATGTAGAGGTGGTGCGGCTGAAATCACTGCCAGGAATGCTCCAAATATGTGTAGTTAAATCTTTTTTGCATGGTTAATAACATCTTTCCGATTCGAATACCTCGTGGATCTCTATGAACACGGATCAGTTCCTGTGAATATTGCAGGGCTAGCACGTCGAGTGCCTTTGTAGGTCAGCAGCAGTGATGACGACTACTCCCGAAGCCAGCGGGTGCCTCCTGCTAGCGGGACGGACTGCCCACTCACCCGAGCGAGGCGTGCGGGCTGAGCTCGGGGCGCCGCGACAAGGTAGCCTTCGACGATGTGCAGGGAGTAGTCGAGCGAGGAGCCGACGAGGATGGAGAGGGAGGTGGCCTCGACGGCGCCCAGCTCGTAGCCAAACAGCGAGCATCGTCGCGACGACCACGCTCAGGACACCTGCGTCGTGAGCAGGCGGGCAAGTGTTGAGACGCTGACACGTGAACGAATACCTTCACCAATTGCGGCTTTTCGTTTTTTGTTTTTACTTCAGTCAACGATGACTACGAGTGGACGAAGATGATCAAGCGTGACGATGGCTACGACTGCAAAAACCAAAGGCCTAAGCACGACTCCGACTGCGATGATCGGCACCTTGAAAGAGGGATGCGGGAGGGGAGGGGTGGCGATTTAAGAACCTTGACGCATTGTTTCAACTTCCGCGCTGGGAGATGGCACCGAACCGGCGACCTCTGGGTCGCGGGTTCCAGCCGTCGTGCCTGTCTGTTTACGCCACGGCCAGTGAGCTCCCAGTTCACGTCGGAGGAGAGCCACCTTTTCACGATTCTCGGAAGGCGGCATCAAATTTGCAATTGATTGGAGCCGCACCAATCAGCTTCTCTTACCCAAGGCAATGCTGGCTTCACTGCACATCGATCACACGGTGTTCATTTATACATCACAGCCCCCGAGTTGGATCTCGTGAAAATGTGCGTGGAACAGGGGGCACAGCGGCGAGCCCTCCGACCATCAACAACAACAAAATATCTCAACACCTTTGTCAATAGCACCGTGGCCGTAAAAGGAAAAGAATAGAACAACTGTGACGTTTCGGGCAATGGCCTTTCTTCAGAGCACATGGATAGAGAGAGAGGCCAGAGAGACAGAGAGGATAATACGGGTTGGAGACTGCACTTTACAACCCGCTTTTAAAAATTTATAAAATAACGAGATGACAGAAGAGATATACGGGAGCGATCGGGTGGGATAAGAGAGGAGAGAGACTGAAACAGATGCGAACGACGTGAAATGAAATGAGAGAAACATTCGGCAGGACGTAAATTCCATCCACGTTCCCAACCCGCAGAACCCCCCCCCCCTTCCCCCCAGCATTTGTACAGCGCTTTGAAATTGCGGTCGCATTTATAGAGGCGTGATAAAAACACAAACCAAAAAACACCCCAATCGCGTCGTCTAATAGCAGGCACGAAGCGTGGACCTGCCATTCACGCAGAGCAATTTCCAGGAATCACTAAACGGGAAAACTCGTCACCAGTTGTGTCCCTTCCCCCCCCCCACCACCACCTCCTCCGCTCTCTGTAAAGTACTGCATCTGTTCCCAGAGGCGTGCCCAAGGCGGCGGGGTTAAATAGGTGATTTGTGTTTTCCGCTGTAGAAACACGCCGGCGCACACTGCTCCACGGCTCCGAAATGTCACCCCCCCTCCCCCCCAACCAACAGGGGGTCGTGACGACGCGTGCCCCTGCGAAAGGTCACACGGGTGGGGGCGTGGAGGCGGGGGGGGCCCACGTGCGCGTGAAATAAGCCTCATTAACTCGCCGCCAATGTGCAGCTGCACAGCTCCGCGGGGAAGTTGCGCAATGAGTGCCGGACTGGAATGAAAAGGGGAGAGGCGCCGTCGGCGATGCTCGTCGGAGGGGGCGAGCCCTCTTGCCTGTTGAGCCAAAAAGGCGCAGGGGCGCGCGCGGAGGTCTCTCTCTCTCTCTCAGCTTCGTATATGGGGTGGTGCCTTGCCTGGCTAACGAGCGCCATGACCTCGCCAACTTCGCCTGCGCGCGGTGTATAGAACAAGACACTGACGGCTGCTCTGTGCTTCCAGTGTTCAGAGGCCTGCTCAAGGCGCGGCTCCGGCTGGAGCACGCATACCACACACATGCCGGTGATGTGCGCGTCTTCTTCGAACGCTGGGGAGCCGGAAAAGTCCCTCTCTGTACCAGCGTGGACGGCACCCTCGTGGTGTTCACCTTCTGAAGTGCTCGCTCGTCACCGTGGCGTGCGCGGTGCTTTTAGCGCCACAGCGCGTCGATTTGTAGCGTTTATTTCCATTTGTTTGCTGGTGACTGTATTTCATATTGAAATCGCCTCCAGTGCAAGTTGTTTAAAAGTCAAAGTCTCTCTCTCTCCGACGTGACCCACAGGGTAGCCCGCCCCATCCCTACCCACCCCCAGCGAGCGTTGTCCGGCACGGCATCCGACGTTTCGACACCGAGAACGGAGGAGGAGGAGGAACCGTACGGGAGGAGTGCAGTTGGGGCCGAGCGCAATCTTCCAGCCACGCTGGCCAAAGAGGGCTCTTAATGATTCTAGATTTGAAGCTTTCGTGACTGCAAGGATTCATACTCTTAGTTCTTTCGGTAAAAGTCACGTAGGTAAAAAAATAAATTTTAATTAAAAAAATAATTATAAAATAATTATAATAATATAATGCCTCCGAAACGTCGTTGTTTTTTTGTTATTAAATATTTTTTTTATACATTTTAATTTCATTTTTTACCTACGTGACTTTACCGAAAGAACTAAGAGTAGGGCTCTTAATGGTTTGGGCCACCCAAGGCAAACCCCTGGTGATTTGATGAAGCCGTCAATATTTCAGGGCCACGATTCTATTAAAGAATCAATTACTTGTCGAGACGTTTTTACTACCTCGTCTGCACCGTCATATTTTCCTGTCTGGTTTGTACATTCTGATTTGGCCCATTAGCCTAAACGTTAAATTAGCATGCATCATTTGCATAGGGTTTTTTTTTTTGCATGGATCGAAAATCAGAAATTCTTACATGTGCAATTCTCCGCGAATATTGCGAGTTTGTAACCTCTTTGCATTTGAGATGAAACGATGCATTTACTGCATTGTTACGCCCCCACAGGATAAGTTGAACTCCCGTCACCACCAGTGGACACCATCAATTGTGTGAGCTTTGTGTCTATTCAGAGACGACGATGAACAATGATACACAAGAGTTCAGCTCTGGCTTACAGGCACAAAGACAACGGCCTCCCTCCCCCAAGAGAGTCATACAGGCTTTACGGTGCAAGTGCTGTTCGTGAGACATCTATTACGGTCACACAAGGCACCGCATGAGGAGGTGATGTGGCCAGTGCCGCTCCCAGCAACCTTTGTCTCCCCAGTGCTGTTTACACACAGTACCAGGTACTCATTTCAAGCTGAGTCGACCTAGAGGAGGCCCATGGATGGTTCATATATTCGTCACTGACTTTGACCGTGAGAGGAAATCGAAGGAGGGTAGCCGGGTTTGTAGGGCCGTGTGCTAACCGCAACACCACCACTACTAATATAGATTTGAAGCTTTCGTGACTGCAGGAATCCATACTCTTTGGTTCTTTCGGTAAAGTCACGTAGGTAGAAAATAAAATAAATCACGACGTTTCGATAGCGACACAAGCAATCATCATCAGGTGGGAAAACCACAGCAAGAAAATGTTTTGCTGAAGTGGCAGAGAGAGTTGCTGTGGTAAGAGGTTATATAGGTAAGAAACGGGGGAGGGGCAAGGGGGTAGAGAGAGGAGGGGGGGGAGTGCTGCGTTTACGCTAGGAGAAGGAAGTGAGGCTGTGGGGGGGGGGGGGCTGCAAGTGGGAGGCCGAGAGAGCTGGGGATGCGGGTTGGAAGTTAACTCGGAAAAATAGAGTGGTAGTAGTAGTACCTGGCAGATATGATACACGACAACCACTATATGGCAGTTAGGGTTTTACCTAGTTCATGACATCCTTCCAATGATTGCTAAATTTGTATCCATCTTCTCGGTTGAAGTTATGTCTATGTGTATATATCTACTCCCCACATGCAGGTCAACAAACACGCCCTCACACAAAAATCCCTGCAGAGCCTTCAGTGATGTTAGCGAGCAGCAACTTATGAAGGCCGGCACGGCATACAAGAGGGTGGGTGGCCAGCACCATGCCCGGCGGTGTGCTAACCACAACACCACCACTACTAATCTAGATTTGAAGCTTTCGTGACTGCAGGAATCCATACTCTTTGTCTCCCGAGTTCCAATGTTTACACACCGCACCAGGCACTGATTTGAGGCTCAATTTACCTAGGGGAGGTCGAAGACCGGTTCAGATAATCGTCACCGGTGTCGGCCGTGAGCGGGAATCGAACCCAGGTCGCCAGGTTCGTAGCGCAGCGCGCAATCATCGCTATACACCACCACTACTCTCACACGCGCACACACTCACGCACTCAGTCATCACTTCACGTTACATCAGGTGTTAACATGAAGCGCCTTAAAACAAAACAAGTATTTCATCTGTCCGACAGCGATCTCGTGAGATGCATTAATGAGTGCGAGCCGAGTGCCACGATGTGTCACATCGCCCTCACAGTCTCTCGTGCAGATTGGTTTTCGTTTTTTTTATTTTGTGTAATAATCGTGATTTATCCACCAAACGCGGCCAGGCCGGAACCGACATCCGCGCCGCAACAAGATCATAATCTCACGGAGCGTCCGCGTTTTCTTTCCCCACCGCCCCCCTCCCCGCGAGGTCAGCCAAATTTTCGGGCATCCAAACGAATGCGCACGCTTTCCGCGCTCAGTAAAAATTGCACCGCCAAGAATCGATGCGCTAATACGATGGTGAACAAAAGCGGCGGACAAACACATTTAACAATCGGCGACGAATAAACGACGCCCGAGACCCACGTATCTACCCCGAGTGCTTTCACTGTCAACTCGAACACGAATCATTCCTCCTCCTCCGGGGCCTTGGTCTTTTCAGGCACTGGGAGGGCATGGACGTTCCCTTCGGGGATATCTCATTGCAGTCTTTCTCGCTCTCTCTCTCTCCACTTCTCTCCATCCATCGCCGCGTCTATCAGCAGAGGGAGCTTCCATCCCACTCGGGCTTTGATGTTTAACGTCCGGTCAGATCGTGGCCTTCCCTCTTTTCCAGCTCTGCTCAGATGTGTGTGGGGGGGGGGGGGGGTGGCCTGTTGTGTGTGTGTGGGGGGGGGGGTACTTTCAAGAGTGATTCACCACGAAGGAGAGTGAAGTTGCGTGGTGCCAAAGGGACATTCGGTGGTGCGAGTCCCAGCCAAATTCCTGCTTCCAGTGTTCCCTGCCGTCACCATCCACTGCGGTCGGTCACCCAGTCATCCTGGTCACGTGTCTGAAATATAAGCACCTGACCTGCACTT